GATCAGAGTTTTCAGGGCTTCACCTGTAGTTGCTCACGTGACACTGCTGTACTACAATACTTCAATCGGCACTGGAAATGCTACTATGCTAATGAGTGGCCCATAGATCTTGGCTTGTTTAAAATGAGGAAGCTGAGCAACCGTGGAAGGGGACATGATCTGACAGGGCTCTGACTCAACCAAGTTCAGAATCCAGAGATCAGAAATGAGTTCTGCCATTAGCCTGTTAATAGACCCCAGTGAACTTCTGGAATCTCAGTGTCCTCATTTGTGGAAAGGAAGGAAAGCCCAAGCCTTCTGCAGTCTTCCAGAGCCTTCCAGAGCCTTCCAGAGCCTGACACAGCCTGACACGGCCTTCCACAGCCTTCCACAGCCTTCCACAGCCTGCCACGGCCTCCCACAGCCTTCCACGGCCTTCCACAGCCTTCCACGGCCTTCCACAGCCTTCCACAGCCTGTCACGGCCTTCCACAGCCTGTCATGGCCTGCTACAACTTGTCAGAGAACAGCAGCCACAGGAAGGGTTAGAAAATGAAGAAAGCGGAGAGGAGTCAAAACCCCCCAAAGATGGCCCACACAAGTGAATTTCGGATTTTCACTTTCTCTTTTCTCTTGTGGTCTTAACCTGACAATAAGTTCCATGTGGTAGCTGAAGCGTCTTGGAAAGGCTGAGAAAAAAAAAAATCCCCATTTCTGGGAATCCTGGGGAGAGGAGCCTCTTACTCTGGCTTTGCCTCAGAAGATGGCTGCCTCTTGGCAGCCTATCTGACCAAAATGCCAACAGACACCCCTTCTTTGGCTCATTCTGGGGTGCTTCTGGTGACTCCGAAGTCTGTGGCCGAAGCTGGAGGTCTCAAGGTCCCTCTGGTGCAGCACCGGGGTAGGTTCCAAACAGCCTGGGTTCACTAACAGAGAGGACACTGAAACCTCTGTCCACACTAAAGATAGAAGAGTGGCCTAAGCCCAGGTTCCAGCGAGGACACTGAAACCTCTGTCCGCACTAAAGATAGAAGAGTGGCCTAAGCCCAGGTTCCAGCAAACTGAAGCAACGAAAGGAAAACGGAAAACGCCAAGGTGTAAGCAATATAAAAATAAAGCCACATTCTAAAAACTTACTCAACAAATAAACACACCTAAAAACATGATCGGCTCTCATGGGGAGCGGCGATAGTGAGGCCAGTCCCAAGAAACTGGAACCGTGGCAGACCCGAACACAGCTACATTGACCACCCTGTGAGCTCACTGTGGACACTTGGAATGGAGATGAAACAATACTTGACGGAGGCACGGAAGTTTCAAGAGTTTAGAAATGAAAAAGTAAACGTCTGTAATGAAGGATTCGGCACAGGAGCTGAATGGCTGAAGGAAGATGACAAGGGACGAAGGAGCACTGGCCCGGGAGCAGAAACCATCCACCAAGAACAGACTTTAAACCAGATCTAAACCAACTTTAGGCCCGTGTGGAGTAACCCAGAGATGTCTTCACCTGCACCGTGGGACTCCCAGAAAGAGCAGAAAGTGAACGCTAAAGAACAAACCTGCAAACAGCTTGTGCAGCGGGGTGGTAAACTTGCCACATCTAGAAACGACTTTAAAGACTCAATACGCTCTGCCCAGCACCCCCCCCCCCCCCGCCCATCATCATCAAACTGCTGAGAGCTAAAAATGAGAAAATTTAACAGCGGTTAGAAGGAATTGGTGCCATAACTGCACACAAAATAAGGACTTAATGACACACCGTGAGAAACCAAAGAGGACTACGTCATTGTTCTCATTGTGGTTCATTTACTATGCCTCAGCACGCAGCCGTTTTCACTTTATTTCTTCAATCTCCCCATAGATGTCTGAATGCATTTTGGATCCCATGAACATACCAGAATACATTGCTAATATATCTCCAATATTATGTTTTTTGATTAGCATATGTTTTCATCTTGTTAAAATGAGAATCTTTCCTGACCAATGAATGCCCCGTTGTTTTGTGTGGGAGTGTCTGTGAGTTCCAGTGAAGGCGTGGGCGTGCATGTGCACAGGATGTCTGTGAGTGTCTGTGTAGGCGTGGGCGTGCATGTGCACAGGATGTGTGTGAGTGTCTGTGTAGGCGTGGGCGTGCATGTGCACAGGATGTGTGGGAGTGTGTGCTGACCCTCAGGTGCCTTCCTGAGGACGGATCTCACCTAGCTTTGCTGAGCAGGCTGGCTAGCTGGGTGCAATCTGCCTGTTCCTAGCCCCCATCCCGCCATGGGATAGGAGACACACTCAGTCTGCCTTGGTAACGTGGACTTGGAGTTCCAAACTCAGGTCCTCACGTTGGCAAACCAAGCATTTTACATCTCTCCAGCCTGGTGCCCTTTTCTCTTCATGAGTTTCTTTTAAAACTCCATAAACATCCTCAAATACACACAGGGTATATCAGTGCATCCTTGACTGTCTCAGAGGGATGCTGAGAAGAGCAAATGCTCTCAGAAGAGACCAAGATTCCCTGCAGTAATATTTCATTTGTATTTTATTAAATAAAGCTTGTCTAAAGATCAGAGGGTAAAACAGCCCCACTGGTCAGCCTTACAGACCAGGCAGGGGTAACACATGCCTCTATTCCCAGTGCTGCACGCCTTCAATCCCAGCCCTAGAGAGGAATATAAGATGGGAGGAGACAGCTTCAGGCACAATCTCATTCAGAGATTCCTGGAGGCAGGATCACCATTTCAGACTGAGGTAGAGGTAAGAGCTGGTTGCTTTGCTTTTCTGACCTTCAGGTTGAACCCCAATTTTTCTCTCTGAGTTTTTATTAATCATGCTTCAATTCCAGAATCCAGCAAACTACTGTAAGACAAGTTAGAACTGGATCAAAAAAGTCGATCCTTGTAGTCTCTCTCCCTAGGGCACGTGAGTGTGACCTCTAGTCTCCTCTGTACGTGGTAAGGTTGGGTGTGTGTCGGGCCCACGCTTGACTAGGTCATTGCAGTCACCCCCGGAGGCTCACAGCCTTCCGCAAAGTGGGGGTGCTAAAGAAACTAGTGATAATGAAGGTAAGGCACAAACAACAGAGACTCCAAGGAGACTCAGAGGAACGCTGTCAGCGTGGCATCCTGATCGCGTTTGTCTGTCTGCTACCTGCCCTGGCCAGCTGCCCAACAGCTGTGGTGGTGACTTAGAGCATCTATAGAGCTGCATGGCCTTTATCTCTTGGTCACACTGACATACTCATTGGCATGAAGTGATGTCAGGATGCCACAGCTCCAGCAGGATGGGAAGGACAGGGGAAATCTGGTTCTGCACTGGGACTGATGATAAAGACACCCCCACATGGGTGCTTACACCCACAGTCCTGGATCAGCTCCAGAGTTTCTTCTTATCCATGTAGGAGTCCAGTCAGTGACCAGAGGAAAAAACTGGCTGACTCTGTGAGCCATTTCCAGCTCACTGTCCTAGCGTGTGCTCTCAGGTCAGCTGGTCTAGGATGGAAGACAAGGGTGTGGCAGCATCAGCAAGACTTCTTGTTTAGTTGCCCATCTCTGAGCAGAAGCCAGGCCTGCTGAAGGATGGCATCCAAAGACCGAGTAGGACCCCGGGTCTCTCACAAGGCTAGGTCCTTCCTTGGAGCTTCTCAAAGTGCTTGGCCAACCCCAAAGGAGGCTTCTTTCTTTAAAGAGAATGTGCAAGCAGCGGGGCCTGGGCCTAGACTGGGTTCTGTTTGGTGTCCATGGGAAGGAGGCATGGTCTACCGTCCTCTGTGAAGAGGGAATGACATACACTTTTAAAATGGGGTTTCTGGGCAGCATGTTGAGAAGAAAGATTTGGAAGTGAAGTTATAGGCGGAATCCCAGGCAAGGAGAGCCGTGGGCACTGGCTTAGACTTACTGGTCCGAGCCAGAAAATTGGTTAATTCTATTCTTGTCTCTATAAAAGGATGTTATCAGCTGACATCTTCCAGGCCTTCTTACGCTTGCTATGGTTTGACTGGAGGGTTGTGAACTTCACATATGACCCTCTGTGAAGACGCTAGGAGGTAAGGCCTGGGGCAAACAGCTGCATCACTGGAGGATGGCCCTGGAGGAGATTAACATAACTTGCAGAACGCAGACTCTTCCCAAGTTAAGTGTATAGAGAGTGGGGCTAGCCACTGACTCTCTGGGTTTCATCTTGCCATGTGGTCTCAGCTGCTGTGATGTCATGAGCCACATCTGATGTGCAGATGCTGGCATACACTGACTCTCCAGAAATGTGAGCTAAATAAACCTGTTCTCTTTATAAAGTACCAAGTCTGTGGCGTTTGTTCAGAGCAACAAAAAGATGGACTAAGCCTTGCCCTGCTTCCATTTCTTTTTCCAGTACACCTATATTTAAGGCATCCAGGAATCCCATGTTCCTACAGTGCTTCCCTCAGGTGGACCATGCCACATTTTTCAGAAAAAGTATTTAGTGACGTGAATGTGAGGAGACTTTCTGTAGCCCTTCCCATGCATCATGATAACTAGGAATAATTGGCATGTCTTAGTCACCAATGGTCTTCATGTGTGATGTGGAACATGGTTAAATCCCTGAGAATGTTTGTCAAAACTGACATTTTCCCTTACTTGATTAAAATTTCCTTCTATTTATTTGTGCTACAACTTTCCTCTTTGACAATCACACAGGGACACGTTTCAGGCTCTTATCTCTCAAGTGGAGTATTTACTGCATTTCCAAAACTCTAGCTTACCAAATAAATCTAATCCAAACGGGTGAAAACACAATCCCTAAAGAACCGAATTGGCCAACATTTTTGTTCCAACTCAGCAGATGAAGTTAACATTCAAATACAAGGCTCATCTCAACATGGTCCAGTCATTTAAAACATCTCACCAGTGTCAGGAAATGTCATCGGAAGCCACCGCAGAGTGAGCCAGCAGAAGGCCCAGATGCAAATGTCAAGGCTTGAGTTAAGAGATAGATGTTAGATAGACAGGTGCCTGAGACGCCAGGACAGACTTTGAAATGACGTGTGCAGAGTCCCCTTACCTGTCCTCAGTTAGCTTCATTAAGGTTGTCCCTCGAGTGGAGAAGACAATGAAGGACATCCTTAGCTGTGGGCTAGAAAGGAGAGAAACTCTGTTAGGTCAGAGAGAACACCTGAGGCAGGTCAGTCCCTTCCCAGCTTCTTTCCTGTTTTTGGCTTTGTGTCATGGCTCCCAGGACTGAGACATCACCTAGATGGGAGTCCCAGTGGATGTGGCAAGAGTTTTGCCAATGGCCACCTTGAAGCTCTGAACCAAAGGTGCCTGCTGTGTCTCCCTTCTGACAGGACACTGTTGCAGAGTGGATATATCACAGTAAGAAAGAGGAACTCCATCCCAACCCAGGCCTTCCCTAAAGGGAACTTGTCTACAAAGTGTCTGTGAAATGGGGAGTCCTATCACCCAAGTCTGAAAGCTTCTCCAGAAGAAGGGAGTATCTCAGAAGGATCGCTATTCACTTAGCTCCTCCTCAGCTGCCTCTGAGGGAAGAGGGGCGGCTGGGCCACAGAGAGTCTCTTCTGCTTGGTGGCTACATGATTTATTCAGCACTCAAAAACTTTCAGTGTAAAATTCACTCTCTGGGTAATAGGGTGGTCTCTTGTGAGGACTGGCAAGAAGCACTGGCAGCCTGCACAAGCCTTGGCACCTCACTGCCATCCTGCAGGGTGCTTGTCAAGAGGCCAACTGGTCAACCAGCGTAGCACCAAGCTGTTTCTTCACAAGGCACTGACCTCACGGAGCTGAGATGATAATGATCCTTGAACACACAGACCTCTCTTCATTGCTTAGCTTCAGGCCTGAGGCTCAGTTGCCTGCCCATCATGGCTGTCCTCTAGCATCACCCCTGACTCTGCTGCATTCTCCATGCTACACCCCAAGTTATTTATCATAAAACATAAATCAGATCTTGTCTTTTAACTGCTACAAAAGCTTTGGCTACTCTTAGAATGAACCTTCCATTATTTCTATGTGCCTGACGTGTCTTTGATTGGGGTTTTTGCTGTGACTGCTTTAGCAGAGGGGAGAAGCAATGGAGATTAGACAGGCAGGAGGGAGTCAGCAAGAAAGTAGAAGTTAGAAGAGGAACAAAGGCATCCAGGAGTCTAGAGTCAATGGCATGGAATGGACAAAGTGGAAGAATGGCCCTAAAGGTGGGCAGTTGGTCCTCATGGATGCAGGAAGGACAGGCATGCAACTCTTTGGGACAGGACTGGGTGCTAAGGGAACATCTGTCTGCTTCCCTCTAGGCTCTCAGTGGCCAGGAAATGGGGCTACTTCCTGAGCGTGATGGGAATGAAGCATAGGTCTGGAGCTCAAGGAAAGGGTGTAGAGTAAGAATTATTTTTAGGAAGGTGAGGGGGTCAGAACAAAGGGGAATTAAAGGATTTCAACTCAGAAAGACCCTCTTCAGTCAGCAGTGATGTAATATGCTAGTATCTACCCGCTACCTCTACCCCACAGTGTGCTATTTAAGGAATAAATAAAATCATCATTCAGGTTTTGAGAAACCCACACAGTGATTTCATAATAGCTGCATCAGTTTACACTCCAACAACAGTAGATAAGGCTTCTCCCTTCCACACATGCTCGCTGGAATTTGTTTTCTTGGTAACAGCCACTCTGACTAGGACGAGACAGAGTCTCAAAGTAGTTTTGATTTGTATTCCTCAGATAGTTTTTTTTTTTTGAGAACTCTCTGTACAATTTCATAGCCCATTTTTCTTAGTTTTTCTTTTCTTGATGATTAATTTTTTTTAAATATTTATTTATTTATTTATTATGTATACAATATTCTGTCTGTGTCTGCCTGCAGGCCAGAAGAGGGCACCAGATCTCATTTCAGATGGTTGTGAGCCACCATGTGGTTGCTGGGAATTGAACTCAGGACCTTTGGAAGAGCAGGCAATGCTCTTAACCGCTGAGCCATATCTCCAGCCCCTTGATGATTAATTTTTGAGTTGTTTGTATGCTTTGGATGTTGCTTCTCCTATAGGTCTGTAGCTGGCAAAGGCTTTATTTGATTCTATCGATTACTTCCTCACTTGATTGACAGCTTCCTTCACTATTCAAAAGCATTAAATTTCACAAGGCCCCATTTGTTAATCATTTGCCTTATCTTTCCGAGTAGCCAGAGTCTTGTGCAGAAAGTCTTTACCTATGCATATGTCTTATATCAGTTTTGGAGTTTCAAGTCTTCAATTGAGGTCCTTGATCCTCTGGAATCGATTTTTGTTCAGGGTGAGAGATATGGATCTAGTTTCATTCTTCTACATGCAGATATTCAGTTTCCCCAGCACCATTTGAACACAATAAACCCCATCCCTATTCAAGAGTGTACCTAGCACTGTTAACAGTCCTTGGACTGTTGCAGAAACAAAACTCGGTGACAGTCTTGATCCCTGCACACAAGGGATCTGCTATGGTCTGAATATGGAGCATCTCCTTGAAATCTTATGTTTTGAAGCTGATGTAAGCAGTGTTCCGAGGTGGGGCTTCAGACTGGATCAAGAGACACCACCTTCATGGATGGCTCAAACCACTGATAGAGTCAACATTTGAACAGTCTGCTGAGAGGTAGGGAAACTGGAATATGGGACCTGGGTGGAGGAAGTGGGTTACTTGGGGTGTTTTCTTGGTATTCTACCAGGTCTCCAGTCACTGCCTGATACTGCCTCTGTTTCATACCCACCAGGATGCAAGAAGCATCGCTACACTGCACGTTAGGTCAGGAAGCTCTACTTCAGCACAGTCTGAGAACAGTGGAGGTAGCAGGGCACAAAACCTCTGCCACCATGAGCCAATATGAACTTCCCTCCTTCTAGGCTGATCTCCAAGGCATTTGTCACAGAGACAGGAAGTATGACCAACACTAAGTCCACAGCCAAGGAATTCAGAGGGGGGAGGCCATAGGAAAGCACCTTGAGGTCTAAGAGTAAGCCTTGGCAATGTCTCTGGTTCCTTCTTTCTTCATCTGTACAGCAGGAGACTGGGGTAAGTATTGATTCAATAGCCCCACTGTGTCTTTGATTCTAATATAGTGAAGAGCATGGAACCACTGATGGCCCTGGCAGACAGCGCTGGAGGCCACTTCCATGCAGATGCTGGGTGATGGGATGTGCATACACTTAATCTTTGTCTGTTCCTTTTATGGAGCCTCTGTTCATCCAAGGTTAAGCCCATTGCTGGGGTTGCACAGGGAGCTTGGATTCAACACTCATCTCACCCAACTGGATCCTCTTCCCCTGGGCCCCTCAACTCAGAGGGAGAAATGAGGACAGCAAGTGGAAACAGAGCAGACGCTGTCAAGGACTTGGATGTAGATGTGGTTTGTGTCACTTGAAAGGGTCACTGGGTGAGAGTGCAGGAGAGGATGTTTGGCTCCATAACAAAAAGGCTTTAAACTGAAATGATCCAAAAGGCTGAAGTTTCTCACCAAAGCTTTTCAACCCAAGGCTCCCCAACGGCTCTCAATCTAGACTGTCAAATCCAAGTTCCATAATTTGTCTAAATGTTTTTTTAGCATCACACATACACCGTCTCTCACCTTGACTGTGCCTCCTCTCCATGTTCTCCTCTCAACACCTACTTTCTAAGTCACCTGGGTTTAGGTTTATGTGATTCCTGCTGCAGATTCAAGGCTACCCTTCCTTTCCTCTTAGGGAGGTAAGAGCATGTTGCTTGATAACTAAGTGTGGGAGGAGGATGTGTGCCATTACCCTGGACTCAGAATACCCTGTGCTATAGAAATGGACTGGAGAGTTTTGTGCTCACTCACATTGGTCTCCATGGAGACCATCTACCACCATGGGACCCGCATCAGCTCTCACAATGCTCACACCAGCTGCATCAAGGATCTTGACAACATGGTGCAGGTGCATCCAGAAAGCTGTGTGACTCCACAGACGGTGATGCCACCTCCTTTAGTGGGTGCACCTCCAAAGTCCATAGTGACCATGCTCAAACCTGCCTGGGAAGATGAGGTCAAGTCCACAGAGATAGGAAGCAGGGGTCATGTGACCAGCCATGACTTGCTCAGGGCTGTGTTGTGTTCACATTAAAACCAGAAGGAATGTAAGCAGATTGGCACTAGTTGGTCACCTAGCACCTTACCCACATGTCCGCTCAGTGTGCACTCCCACGGTGTCCAGGAGTTTTCGGAACAGTGAATGGGCTGGATTCACCACCAGCCATGAGAGAAGGGACTGTGGAGTGACACTCACCTGATGAATCTGTGAGCCAGCTGCTCCACAAAGTAGTAGATTTCATTCCAGTGGTGCAGCACGCTTCCTGACCTGCGGGACAAAGCGGCATGCGTTAGCACCTTGTGCAGGGTTCCTCTTCAGTCTACCGCTCTATGCAGAACCAACCCATGAACTGGGCTCATTCCTTACCTGGAACTGGAAAAAATTTGGAAATTATCTGTAAGGCCGTTTTAAAATTTTTAAGAATTCCTCCAATTCCATCTCCCATTGCCAACCCGGCCTCCACTCCAAACTCTTACACTGAAGCAAGCAGACAATCAAAAGCCCCGGGGCTCGAACAGATCACAGGCTGGCTCCACATCTTGATGGCACTGTTATTTATATGCTCCTCTAAACGACTTTATTCCAATTCCAGCGAATAAAATCAGCAAACTGACTGTGGTGGTTTGAATGAAAATGGCCTCCATGGGCACTTAGGGGCTGGCGTTATTAGGAGGAAGTGTGCCACTGGGGGTATGCAGGTTTTGAGGCTTCAGATGCTCAAGCCGGGCCCAATGACACACTCTCTTCATGCTACCTTTGGGTCCAAATGTAGACATCTCAGGTACTTCTCCAGCTTCGTGTCTGCCTGTGTGCTGCCGTGTTTCCTGACATTACAATAATGGACTGAACCTCTGAGCTGTAGGCCAGCCCCAATTAGATGTTTTCCTTATTAAGTTTGCCATGGTCATAGTTTCTCTTCACAGCAATAGGAACACTAACTAAGATACTGACATAAAAAATTACATATCAATTCTTAATTTGATTATAAATACAGGTATCTATAGAATTTTTAAATAAATCATTTGATAGCTGAATCTAGCAGGTTTCCTAAATAATAACTGACCAATTGGTGGACTTTATTTTAAGAAGGCACTGAGAGTTAAACATGGAGGAAAATCTTTTGACTCTAATGTGGTTATTTAGAAAAATAAATAAAAGAAGAAAATGGCTCAACCTCTCACTATCTCAGAAGGGAATGCGCCACCAAAGGGAGGGAAATCAGTTCTCTGAAAATATGTAGTTGTGAGATTTTTAGACTTGGAAAGTGTAGTAATATGGGGCGGCAGGGCTGCGTCCCCCACACCCGGCCGCCCACATGGCTAGCTTATGCTCCGAAATAACAACACACAAACTGTATTCTTTTAATCACTGCTTGGCCCTTCTGCCCTAGCCCTTACTGGCTAATTCTGATATCCCGATCAACCCATCTCTAATAATCAGTGAGCACCGGTCTTACCGGGAAGATTCTAGCCTAGTCCATCCTGGGTCGGAGCTTCATGCCGGAGCGGGGCATGGTGTCTCTCTCAGGTGTCTGCTCCCTAGAGGAGAGTTTTCGAGTCTGACCTCACTTCCTCTTCCTCCCAGCGTTTTGTTCTCTTTACTCCACCCACAGGGCCAAGCAGTTTCTTTATTGGCCAATGACCTTCCTCCATCAGGAAAGGCTTTGAATCTTCTGGATCTGACATTGTGATATTTATGATCTTCTGCTCACCCCCTTGACTCCGCCTGTTTTACCACAGTGCTCCTGCTCAGGCTCTCAGAGCAGGGACGATCTTAGCTTTGTCTATTAAGATCTGTTATGCCGTTCGCACAGATCAGCCCAGCCGAGCCCCAGCCTGTCCTGCTGGGAGCTGAGGCAGTGCCGTGCTTTCTGCTCCGACACTTGGTATTGCGAACATTTTCTGCTGGGGTCTGATTACGTTTACTCATTTATTTCTGTGTGTTATGTGGGTACATGTGTGTGCATGTTTGAGTGTGTGTGTGTGTGCACGTGTGTTTAATATGTGTGTGATACATGCACCTGAGGCCAACAGAGGGCATCAGATCTGCTGGAGCTGAGCTGGAGGTTCTGAAGCCCTTTCCTTCCCTATCTTTTTCTTTTCTTGGTTGTGCTGGGTGTTATTCTAGGCCTTTTATTTTTTAAATTTAGTGTCTTAATTATTTGAAAATTTCATCCACATATATAATGCTCATTTTTTGTTCATTTCCACACCAACTTCCCTCTTCTATCCCCCCCCCCCACTGAACCCAACCTTCTAAACCAAACCCTTTCTCCACCACTTCTCCCACTGCCTAACAGGAATGACCATAGACCATGAGCCCCAGGACATCTTTCAAGTGCCACCTAACATCAGACCTCTGTGAGAACCCGGCCACACTGAGAGCGGAGACTCAGGCTCGGGAGAGAGGAGCCCTTCAACACACTGTGAAACAATGGGGTTTTATACTTAACAACCCTAACTGAACCCAAACCCCCACTCAGGAGGCTGGCCACTCCCAGCGAAGCTGACCTCTGGTAGTTCAGACGTGGCCCCTCTCACTCTGAGCTCAGAAGCAGATTCCTGATCCCAACAGGAGAAGCCAGGGTTGGCTGGGAAAATGGCAGCATGTATTCAAGCTCAGCTTTTCTCCACTCATCTGTGCGTCGTTAACCTTATATGGCATGGCATGTCCCATTTGTCTGTTTAAGAGTTAGTACCTGAACTCCAGCCGTGTAGGACTAACCTAGCCATTGCTATCCACGCTGCAAGGTAGAAACCAAAACTTCTCTCTAAACCCAAATATAAACAGTACAAGAAGATGTTTTTCCCTCGGACTTGGTGGGTTTTGTGGTAATGGAACTAGTGAAGGGTCTCTTCTCGGGATTTTTGCATCTCTAGTCTGTAAGTACAAATTCCATCAAACTTTGGAATTAAAATAGCCTCCCAGGAATTCTAACTGGGGACAGCATTACAGAATCCTCTGTTTGAAGATTCACTCGATTCACTTGGGATCCAATCAGAGCCAAGATCAGTGTCATCTCCCAGTATCAACTGCGGTGGCTTTCGCAAAAGGGCTCACTACTCCCCAGGGAAGGAAACCATCCTTGTCCACTCTACATCTCTATCAGCCATCACTGCACAGGGCACTTGCAAGGCTCCTTACTTTTGTTTGCCTAGTTTGTCTCCAGCATTTGAAATAGGATAAGAAGTCAAGAACTATTTGACATCACACTTAGTGAGGGATTCTGTATAGAACAACCTGGCATTGCCCTCCGGTGACAGGCCAGGCACTTCCAAGGTTTAATAAGCAAAGAGCAGGGGCAAAGACAGAGATCCCAGATTTTACCCATTTGTTTTCTGAACAAAGCTGCATTCTTTCCTATTTCTGAGAGTTTCTAACACCCCTGCTGTTAAATGCCTTAGAAAACACATTTGCTATACAAGCAACCAGAGCATAAATAAAAAGGTAACCAAGCAAGCAAGCCTGTGGCTGAATCCACCACCACCAACCTCTTACCAGGGAGAGCGAAGTAGCTAAGAGAGAGATTACAAAATGGTCAGGCCCCAGTCATCCTTAGCCCCACCTGGCTTAAGTCATTGATGTCAGTGACCCTCTTGGGTCTCCAGACAATCCTGGGTGGGGATGGATGTGTTCAGTAGACTTCAGGAATATTGGGTGGACCCAGAATTAGCGCCAAAGCCCTCTTGCCACTGTGTGCCCTCTCCCAACTTCGCCCCACCCTCTTCGTTCTCCTTTGCTCCTCTTCCTAAGAAGTTGGAGCCCATTCTGCCCAGCTGGCCTTATCAGCTGTTCCCTTGTGGCCACAGCCAAGTCTTCCTCCTGGACCTTGTTGACTCTTGCTGCCACTTCTACTTCTTCACACACCAGGTCAGATCCAAACCACACCACTGAGCCCTCTTCTTTGCCCTTGGTCTGGGGACACACATCCTGCTCCATCTGGTGCTGTGAGGCCTCTACCAGCCAGGATGTTTGACTCTCCTACTGCCATGTGACTTCCCCTTAGTCAACCCAACTGATGGCTTTGAAAACAATGACGCTTACACTGCAGAATGCAGTTGGGGAGTTGGGAAATCAGTGATTGGGGCATGGCCAGGCTTTTTTTTTTTTCCTCAAAGAAATGAAACAAAACAAGATTGAAAAACCAGAATGTGCTGTTGAAAATAACCGAAAGCAGTGCTGTAGGGAATTTCTGGTCGACTACAAGTACCATACAGGCGCCGTGTTAGGATATCAGGATTTTTCTGTGGCTCATGATTCAGAAGATATCTTAACCAGAGAGGTACTCCCTTCTCCACTCTGCCTTTCCAACACACACACACACACACACACACACACACCCCACAAGCACACTTATACCACACATGTACTCACACATTTATGTACACAAAAGCACACTCACATACACAACACACACACATGCATGCATACAGGCACTACACACAGACACCACACACACACACCACATACTTATACAGATCTCACACACACACCACTCACATAGACCACACACATGCCACACAAACAGTTGCACACACAAATACATGCACAAACAATACACACTAACATGTAACATGCACATACACCACACTCACATGTACCCACACATGAATACACACACACATACATACAACCAAAAAAAAGCTTACACACATTTTTTGACATGAACTACTGAAACTTTGGCACAAATTCAACAAACAAGTGGCATGGTTGCTAGGACAGAAAGCGTTAAGCTGTCTTAAAGGTGCTTCAGTGGGCAAACTGCATGGCTTTGGATCCATTTCTCACTCTCTGCAGGTTCAGAGATGATTCCAAGAAAGCTGAGTGATCCCCAGAAGGCTAAAAAGGGACAGACCAATGTCACTCAAAGATTGCTACTATGTCTAGTTGTCACTGGTGGGGAAGTGACAAACACTGAGGGTCCACAGGACAGGGTTTTAAAATACAGCATAACCAAAACAACCAGTTCCCTGTCATAAACACAAGGGTGGAAGACAAGTAAAAGGTAGACCACCACGAGGCTCACCTCCAGCCACAGTCGGACACAGGCAGTGTCCACCATACTTCTCCCCCACAGCAGACATGGGCACTGCCTACCCCGCAGTGACCTGCTTCCAGGCATGAGGACTATGGCCAGAGACCCTACTGTCTTTACCTATGAGCACATTTTCATTTCCTTAAATGGCATTGCCCACATCATCTGTCACATCTGCATCTTCTCTCTGCTATGGCAGCAGTGTGCAGTAGAAGGATGCCTTGCTTTGTAC